TTTTCACACCCCACGTATATAAAATCTTAATAATTTATCTCTTAACTTTTACTAACTGAGATTTATTAACTTTTATTATATTTATTAAATATAATTTTTTTATTTAAAAAGTCATAATAAATCTTAATTATTAAAAATAAAAAAATTAATAATTAAGATTTTATAAGTATGACATACAAAATTTATGTGCAAATAAATTCATACTCATTAAATTTAATACAATATTAATAATTATCCATCATCATAAAATGATATATCAATTATTAATACCGTTCTCAAATTCTTTGGCTTTTTGGTAATCTAAATCTAAATACAAGAAACTTGGGTCTTGGTGCCTTCCTATCTCTCTCATCACTCCCTTCTTCTTTTCTCTCACTTCATTTAACTCATTGCCCTTCAAGCAATATGGAAGAGAATGTAATAGTGTTTTTGCAATTTTGTTGTTGGTTTGGGATGCTTCGATTTCAAATATGAGTAATGTATATTTGTGTCTTCGTAATTTTTTGTTCATTTGGTGACAGTTTGGTTTTTAAAACTATCTACACATGTAAAAAGAAACAAAAGGATTTCCATTTTTACAATGATGTGGAAACTGAGGTGGTGTCATCTCAGCAAAGAGGAAAGTTGACTTCTAGGTAGAAAAGAGGTCTGCATGTTGAGCTGGAGTTTTCATTTTTGGTGCTTCAAGGAGCTATAGAAGGGTGAGAGAAAGAAATTGATTCACAAGAAGGGAAAATGAAAATACGGTTGAAGATATGCTCTGAAAGTCTTATATTTTTTGAACATAAAAAAAAAAATCTTATATTTTTTGTGAAGGGCATGCTCAATTTAGCCTTTTTTAGTTCAATTATTTGATTTATATAATAATTTATATAAATAAGTTATATAAACATCGCAATCATGTGAAATTGATCTAAAAATTAAATGCAAAGCAAGGAAAAATGAACACTAAATATAAATTTAAGTTTTACTCGTAGCATGTATCTCTCTCTACAAACTCTATAAATTGCTTTTCATATCAAATAGCAAAATACAACACCCCACATAACAGGGTTGAGTGCTAGTTTCATTGAAAGTTGAGACCCTTGGAAAAAAAAAAATAATAACAGTAGGGAAAATTGTTTTGAAATATATCTCCATAAAGGTCATATTTTAATTTATATTTTAAAATTAATTTAGTAGGCTTAATATGATTTATTATACAAAATTTAATATGATTAAATAATATATGTAAACAAAAACTATTTCAAATTATAGAATTAACATTGTTGTTTGATAGTTATTTTGAAAAATAGAGTTATGCATTAATATGATTATTAAGGCCTTGTTTGGTATGATTGTGATTTATTATTAATTGTGTATATGATAGTAGAATTATCTAGTCTCTTAATCACATATTTAGAGTTTAATCTCTAGTATCTACGTACAAAAAAAAAACGTATGATTGTGATTTTTGGTTTTCATAAATTTTATAACTCTAAACGAAAAACTTTATTTATTTTCATATATTTTTGTGTTATATTATCATAATTATTA